CTGGGCGCGCGGGCATCTTAAAACCCGGCCAACCGCAATACAAAGCCGGCCCTCATACCGAAAAGCGCAAGCAGCAGATGGGGAAGAGATATACCCCCGCTTGCGTTTGCATGTATGCGTGTGCTCCTATTCCTGGAGAGTGTTGACTTTAATTAGTCCTCTTCTTGGCTTTGAGGCCTCAACCATACGGAGCTAAGAACCGCAGCACTGCAGTTGCCAACGCTGGTGCACTGGTTCCTTTGTTCGCGTTCGATGCTTGGAATGAAAGTTACTAAAAAGTGTAAGCGAGAGGCACTTTCTATGCTCTGCAGGAAGAAGCTATAGCATTCGATTGGTAATAGGTGTCCTGACCAACGTCCGGAGAATTTCCGAGACTGCTGCTGTGGAGCAAGCGGTGTCTTGATCCACCTCTTGTTGTTGTGATAAACAAATTCATTTCATTCACCAATGCGACTCACCTCTAGCCACATCAACACAACACCCGAGTTACCCATGAAGATGCTCTAAATATACCATTAGCACCGGAAATCTAAAGCACCGAGGATATAGATGGCAAAAATTGGACTATGCTATTCTACAGGGAGCAAATTTCTTAAGCCAGTTGCTTTTCTCAGAACTACTAGCAAATTTTCTCCTTTCCACTTTCTCTTTATCCCTGTGGACTAATCCTGGGTTCTTACAACATGCAGGTTTTCAGAAATGGGGCGATCTTTTAGCAAAGCTTTTGATCATGAAATAATCATAGTGTGGACCTCGGCAAAATATCACCGGGGGGGGGGGGGGGCGGGAATATAGAGGGTGAGAGGTAGGAGGAGGACGAGAATGCGGCAGTATCTCCCTCCTATCGTAAAGTGCATTTCTTCCCACTGGTGGTGTGAAGTCTTGTTGTGTGTCCTGATGCCCTTTGGGTGTGTAAATTGAACATCCGTTCCAATGAGTGGCTATTCTTGGCTGTTTCGCGTATAAGTTTTTCTTGATCACCTCCGAGCTGTGGCGTTCCTAGTGGATAAGTCTTAGCAGCAAGTGTCGTCTCGACTTCATCAAGTGAATCTTTCGCAATGATAAATTGAGACACGAAGTATTTTAGTCGTGTTTTGGGGATAAAGTGGTGGGCGCCATGAAAGCGCGGCGTAGACAGTAAGTGCAGTACATGGGGAGATGTTTGTTCGGGCAATTGTTCGACTACACAAATACAAAAGCCCCTTCTCACCGCAAGTTTGCTACCAAACAACCTAGCAGCCTTTGGTTTGTTTCAAGTATGTGAAATGGCTTAGCAACACCAAATTGACATTCTCAATACATGCCAGTTGGGC